CTATTCCATCAAGCTCACCTATTATCTTGTCAAGCCAGTCATCCTCACATACAGGTATCTCACAAGAAACAGGCACTAGCATGTTTGCCTCGACACAAACAGAAACAAGTCAATCAAAAGGCAGCACAATAATAGATACCTCTACTGTTCCATCAACCTCACCTGTTTCGTTTCCAAGTGTTTCATCATCATACACTGCCGTCTCACAAGAAACAGGCACTGGTACATCTTCCACGGCACAAACGGAAACAAGTGGATCAAGTGGTAGTACAACAATAAATACCGCTACTGTTCCATCAACCTCACCTGTTACGGTTTCAAGTCTATCATCCTCACTCACTGGTATTTCTCAAGAAACAGGCACTGGCACATCTTTCTCGGCACAAACAGAAATTAGTCAACCAAGTGGTAGTACAACAATAAATACTGCTACTATTCCATCAAGCTCACCTATTATCTTGCCAAGCCAGTCATCCTCACATACAGGTATTTCACAAGAAACAAGCACTGGTTCGTCTTTCTCTGCACAAACGGAAACAAGTCAATCCAGTGGCAGTACAACCATAAATACTGCTTCTGTTCCATCAAGCTCACCTGTTATATCTTCAAGCCTGTCATCCTTACACACTGGCATATCACAAGAAACAGGTACTGGAGTTTTTTCCTTCGCACCAACGGCAACAAGTGAAGCAACTGGCAGCACTACCGTAAATACAGCTACCCTCGCATCAGTCTCACGTTTCACATCGTCCAGTCAGGCCGTCTCGTATGGAAGTAGTTTACAAGAAACTGGTAGTAGTACGTTTTCACCGTTGTATACTGGTACGAGCCAGGAAATAATTGGTTCAACAGTAAGCGGAGTCACTATGTCATCGAGTTTGTCTATGACGATCGGCACTGAAACGTCTTCATACACAGGTACTATGATCACTAGCACTTCCAACAATGTTGCTTCAATCATCAGTTCAACGTCAGAAAGCACAGTTCCTACTATGTCAACAATGGTTCCTACAGATACAAGTGAAAGAAGTACTCTAACAGCTACTAGTGGGTTCGTTGCAACTGGCAGCAGTGAATCATTGAGTACTGTCACAAGTGGCAGCTCCACATCATCTTTAATGACAATAACTCATAGTATGGAGCAATCAATACCTTCGTCTCAAGCTACATTGTCTGCTTCCATATTATCGACTTCGATTATATTAACTTCTTCGAGTGGCGAAGTAGCTAGCACATCATCTGGTTCCTCTACGATTATGAGTACAGGTGCTCAGAGCAGTCCGAATACATTATCAACGCCATATCAATCGGAATATACTAGTCAGTCCGCGACGTCTGTTAGCGAAGGAAGTAGTGTACCAGTAACAGCTGTTACACAAACCCAAGGCTCATCAGCAATCATAGGTAGATATATATTTATTAATTTTATATATAGGAATACATCGTCCACTTTAGCGTTTTCAGTAACAAGTACAGCACAGACTGGATTATCAAGCAGCATATCAGTTTTGAGTAGTTCTTCAAGTGTTGAAACACAAACAACAGCTACAAGCCTCTTGTCTTCTTCGCATACAGGTAACAATAAGCGACAAGCAAGTGATATTTTGTTTCTCCACATTGAAGATGTTTAATTTCG